GTGTGTAGCCAGCAGCCAGCATGACTGGCCAGCAGCCACAGTGAGCGGCCGTCCAGAAGCCGGTGACTGATCTGCCTCGCCCGGGAAGAGTGCAATGATGGTGCCAGCTTGGGCCAACAAAACAACAGCAACTTGTCTGTTCCCCTTCCCCCGATTCCCCAGCGCTGTTCCCCTCCCCCAATTCCCCAATAAAATCTTTAAAAAAAAATGAGAAAATGCTTCATCTCACTGATAATAACAGAAGTGCAAATTATAATTACAATGATATATTGTTTCTCCTCTATCATATTGGCAAAGAACAAAAAAACTGAAAAAAAAATTTATTGGGGAAGAGTTGGGAAAACTAGCATTCTTATACATTGTTAATGGGAACATAAATTGCTACACCCTTTATAAAGGTTATTTGGCAATATTTATCAAAATACAAATGCACAAAGCCATTAACCAGCAATTGTACTTTAAGAATCTATCCTAAAGTAATATTTTTACATTGCAAAATGCTGTGTGTACAAGGATATTCACAACAAAATTGTTTATAATAGTAAATGATTAGAAATACTCTACATTGATAGGGGCAAGTTAAATAAATTACGGTGTTTCTACATGAAATATTCAGCTGTGAAAAAGAAAGAGCAAGTAAATGGTCTGACAATTATGTTCACGTACTTGTTGCAACAATGTTGCCAAACTTTTTTGATATCAGAGGGATTATTCATTATACATTTGTATCAACTGTACAGTTAACCAAGTTTACTATTTGGAAGTGCTGGAAAGGCTGCATGAAAAAGTTATACAACCTGAACTTTTTGCCAACAATTCATGGTTCTTGCATCACAAAAATGCACCAGCTCTCATGGCACTGTCTGTGAGGGAGTTTTTAGCCAGTAAACAAATAACTGTATTGGAACACCCTCCTTACTCACCTAATCTGGCCCCCAATGACTTCTTTCTTTACTCAAAGAGAAAGGAAATATTGAAAAGAAGACATTTTTATGACATTCAGGAGATCAAGGATAATACGAAGACAGCTCTGATGGCCATTCCAGAAAGAGTTCCAATATTGCTTTGAAGGGTGGACTAGGCGCTGACATCAATGCATAGCTTCCCAAGGGGAGTACTTCGAAGGTGACCATAGAGATATTCAGCAATGAGGTATGTAGCACTTTTTCTTGGATGAGTTCACGAACTTAATCATCAGACCTCATATACATTTTAGGTGAAGAAGACTTGGTGAAGAACAAAGTTTACTGTGCTCTCATTTACTTAATAATACTGTATTACATATATCTAGATATTGAATATCTCTGTTAATATCAACAAGTAACTGGTAATAGGGCTTCTTTTTTTGAAGACTAACCTAATGGCAGACAAAAATGAGAAGGAGACTTGGAGACTTACGTGTATGAACTTTCGTGCTGTTTGAATTTTGAAGCTCATGTCTGTATTAATTATTCAAAAATAAATTTCAATTTAATGCCTTAGTATCAGAGGATATTTTAAACGTTTATACCACATTTTTAGAAATGCTCCAACTCCATAGGCCTACACTCCTGGACTCCAAGCTGGGCCACTATTTTGTAAAGACAGTGAGAGAGGCCCTGTTGTTGGTTTAGGAATGTTTCCAATTCTGAAATGGCATTAATGGGGGTAGATAGCTTACACTCCAGACCTGAAGGACAAACCTCCAAGAGTTCCTTAACTACATATTTCTCCTGTGTGATTCACAATCTATTAATAGTTTACTAGGTAAGTCCATAATACATGCTGTACTACTACTACTACTACTACTACTACTACTACTACTACTACTACTACTAAAGATAGTCTTGCTTTACATTCAGGAGACTGTATTTGAATCTATACAGAAGTGTGATGTGAACCAGCAGTTTTTTTTCTTTAAAGATTTTATTGGGGAATTGGGGGAGGGGAACAGTGCTGGGGAATCAGGGGAAGGGGAACAGACAAGTTGCTGTCCTTTTGTTCTTCAGTCTAGTTGTGGAGGATGTCGCTTCACTGGCCCATGTTG